TGTTTGCCGTGTATTGTAAAGCTACGTTGCACAATATAAAAAATTAGTGTAACATTTCAAATTTCCACTATGCTATTTAATCAGATGATGTTTATTTTGTGTTGCAAAAGTCAAATTATAATATAATACTTACTATCTGGTTATTATAAAGAAATAAAAAAACAAAATTAATTAATTAAAAGATGTTTATTTTGTGTTGTAAAAGTTAAATTATAATATAATACTTACAATCTATGAAATAAAAAAACAAATTATTTAATTAGATGATGTTTATTTTGTGTTGTAAAAGTTAAATTATAATATAATACCTACTCCCTGGTTATTATAAAGAAATAAAAAATCAAATTATTTAATTAGACGATGCTTATTTTGTGTTGTAAAAGTTAAATTATAATATAATACTCACCATCTGGTTATTATAAAGAAATAAAAAAACAAAATTATTTGATTAGATGATGTTCATTTTGTGTTGTAAAAGTTAAATTATAATATAATACTTACAATCTATGAAATATAAAAACAAATTATTTAATTAGATGATGTTTATTTTGTGTTGTAAAAGTTAAATTACAATATAATATTTACCATCTGGTTATTACAAAGAAATAAAAAAAACAAATTATTTAATTAGATGATGTTTATTTTGTGTTGTGAATATACATGAAGTTGAACCATTTGCAGATCTGATTTTTACTATGTAGTTGCCTCAAGTTGAAACATTTCAACTTTGAGGTTTTAATTTTGGCTTCATGTATAGTTGTAAAAGTTAAATTATAATACAATACTTACTCTCTGGTTATTATAAAGAAATAAAAAACCAATTATTTAATTAGATGATGTTTATTTTGTGTTGTAAAAGTTAAATTATAATATAATACTTACTCCCTGGTTATTATAAAAACAAATTATTTAATTAGATGATGTTTATTTTGTGTTGTAAAATATTTTATTTACCTTTATAGAATTTAAATTTTATTTATTATAAAGCAAAATATTAAATTTTTTATTTTTTGTGCAAGAAAAAATACCTTTATCCATTTTTTACTGGGAGCAAGAATTTCACTAAGACCAGTGTGTTTATTCTTATTTAAGATAGTATTAATTTATCAATTGATGATGTGAATAAAAATTTATAGAAAAAATTGTATAACTAGTATGTTCAAAAGAAGGTAAATTAATAAATTTTGTATCCAAAATGGGGTAAATCTTGAAATCTTGAAACCTTAAGGTAAATTTAATGAAATTTACTAATTGACTGGGATGATAATTACCTGATGTCCTGTGCATACTAAAGCAATTAGTGGTAGGATATCAAACAATAACTGGATTAAAAAGTGATTCACTTATTAACCGTACATTTTTTCTTAGTTACACCAAGATTTTCATTGTGAATGAATGTAATGTAAATCTTATTGTTACCATGCCATGCTTCTTCAATTGTTTGTGTTTGTTTGTGTCGTCTTCCGATTGGAAATTGATAATAAACTGAGTAACACTCACTATCTTTGAAATCACTTTTTTATTTTCAAAACTTTATAATTAATATTAATTGATTATTGTTTATTATGAATGAAAGAAAAAAATAAAGAATATCAATTAAAAATAATATGGGGCATACTGCAACAAAACCAGACAAAGTGAACATTTGTATCACCAAGAATTTCAGGGTTTAAACATGTTGCTCCCACATTAAAATAATTCAGTAATAGTAACAATTATAAAAAAAAATAATAAAATGATAGTAATAAAATATAAAAATTTAGATTTTTTGTTATAAGAGATTTATTTAAGAAAAAGATTTGAAGATCCTACTGATACCAATAATAATTAATTAAAATAATTTTTCTTGACAAGAAGAAGCAGAAAAATACCAAATTAACCACTTAATAAAAAAATATAAAACCAACAGCCTGGAAAAAGATGGCTGAATGAAAAAAAGAAAAAGTAAATAGTAATGAATATTGGTCATTATTAATTGTGAAGCACAAAAAATACTTGATTGATAAAAAAAAAAAAAAAGCAAGAACTAGCTGAAAGAAAAATATTGGATTTCATAACTACAAAATGAAACTGTTATTCTAAAATTGAAAACATTCATCACCTGTCCCAAAAAAATTGATTTAGAGATTGAGAGTTAGTAAAAGAGAGAGTAATAATTAAAATCAATTGAACATGTGTATTCTTACTTTTAACCAATAAAATCTTATTTCATTATAAATGTTCACCCACTAGCTTCAATTCAGTAAAAAGTATTTGTGAATAATAATCTAATTCGATAGATTGTCGATGCCACCACTCTATAATATCCTTTTTTTTGTTTATTAACCAATGCACTTCCTCTGATTTATAATTTTTATCAACTTTGATGCCATTGATTTCATCATCTTCTCCCCACGAAAATTCAATCCACCCACAAACTGTATTAATTATCATATTAATGCAATCCTGAAACTCTTCTATTTAAAAAATTAATCAGTGAATGATTAAACTTTTTTATTAAAAAAAAACCACAAAATTATACAAACCCATTGTATCGAACATATTCATTTCCTCCAACTTAATATCTTCACCATACCTGGAAAACACATAATAAAAATTAGTTAAGGCTTAATATGTGTATAATAAAGGTTCTTTGTGTCCATTAATGTTAAAAAGGATACAACAATAATAAATCAATCAAATCGCTATTTATATAATTAATAATTTTCAGTTTTTTTTCTAACATTTTATTAATTTGTAATAATCTAAAGATGGATGCAAATAATTTAAATTGCAAGATATATAAATCAGCCAACTCAAGATAATATTTTAATGTGCTTACTGTTCTTGATTTTCTTTTGACAAGGAGGTTGCTTCAATTTTTTTTTGAGGACTAAAAAAAAAGAGATTAACAAGATTTTTCTATTAGAAAAGTTCTTAAATTTCCCAACTAGAGTGACGACGAGTGGCGGGCGATAACCACCACCACTATCCTTAAAACATTTACTTGTGTTGTCCTTTGACATTTTCTCGGTTTCTCTTCTTTGTATTCTTTTCGAATGACATTTTTAAAGAAAATAAAAGATTTGTTTGATCGACAAACACGTCATTAATTATTTATCCTATTGGTTTTTTTTTTGGTAGGACAGACGCGAATTGATTTTTTTTTTTTTTTTTTTGGAAAAACAATTTATTTTTTGACAGAGTCTAAGGTGACAAAACGTGAACGTTGTTGTTTGGTTTGGTTTGGGTCTCCTAAAGAAAAGGTGTTAATAACTAACCAGAGGTACTTTTTTTATTTGTATTGATTGATATTTTTATTTTAGTTTATAAATATTTTAATTGGAAATCAAAACGCGGAGCAGATCATTGCTGGGTAATTATAAGATTCTTATCAACAACGAACGATTGGTATTTGGCTTTTCGTAATCATTAATATTAATAATATTAATTATAATATTATAATTACAAGAAGATGTCGAGGCAGCATTGACTGTTGAAAAAGAAACAATTTCGAAATGTGATGTTTGATTATCGGAAAATAGCAGACGTTGAAGCACTCACGCTGCCTTGAACACATTAGTCATTCTCATCTTCCTCGTGTGCACAAGGCTAATCTGACTTGCCTCCTCCAATGATACAATGATGCAACTAAATTCCAGGGGGGGGTCGCTCTGCCCTGGAGTTTACCGAGACTGCACCAATTGTCAATGACACTTTCACTAATCTTCCCAGACCAGAGAAGGCTGCTGGCATGCTAGCCGAAAAGTTACCTGCAATGATCCCACCTCTAGGGTAAGGATGGCACTGTGACCAAGTCGCAACTCTGCTGATGAATATTAAGAGAATCTGTAGCTCGTTCAAGCACAGGAGGTCACAATTCAGAGCAGAGTTGGTGGCCCTGAAATTGCATTTGGGTTCTGATGTTAAGAGGAAAGTTGTAAAGTAGTGTTTGTTTTGTATAATCATTTTCCTAAATGCTCTGTTTCTCTGATACTAACCAATTTAAAATTTTGGGTCTGTCTTATAGATTAAAATTATTGCATGATTATATACATCTTTGTCAGCAATATGGCCAACAAGAAAAAGAAAAAAGTCATAAAAATGGTTCGGATTTTGTTTGGTATGTTATGTTATAAATTAATCATTTTCCCAAATTTTCTGCTTCTCTTTAATTTTTATTTGACCAACTGAATTTGTTTTTTGAATGGGGGTAGGGTTGTTGGTGAGTAGACATGCCACTGACCAGACAGCAACCCAGGACTCAAAACTTTGAATCCAGGGAAAATCCAAAAACAGCAACCCAGGTTGTGGTTGCAATCTCCCGAGTTGCAGAATTTTGAACATAAAGCAATTATCACACAAGCACCAGCTGTCAGTGATCAATACCAAGCCTGGTCTGAGAGGAAGATGTGGAAAGTTTTTGTCCAAAGCCTTCCAACTTGTTTTCACCTTGCCTGTGGAAAAAATTCCATGGTTATGAGGAGGTGTGAAAGCACCTGTTGACTTGTTTGTGTCAGGAAAGTTTTAATTAAATCTGATACCTGTGATCAACATCAGGTTTATTATTCATGAGCAACCATAATTGATAATCAGGAAAAGTAATTTATTTTGTGAACCCCAGAGATCTGGGTAGACAGGCATTATTAAAAGTTTCGTTTATGCATGGCCTTGGTGTTATTACTACCTGGGTGATGCAATTGTCTGTTATGTTTGTGCATGATTTAAAATTCTTTTGTGCTAATTTAGAGTCCCATTTTTCTTTGCTTATACATAATCTATTGGTCCTCTTTTTACTGGTTGAATGATGCCAAATTGGGTAATGGGGTATCAGTAAATATCAGAATCTGATTATTCTTTAAAAAAAATAATTAAGGTATTGGCATACTGATAAGTTAATAATATTCTTAGTATTTTTATCAGATATTCTTCTAAAATTAATCCTATTTTTTAGTTAATTATTGGCTTAATTCAATAAACCAATAACT